TAAGCACTTTTATTTCTACACTCCACAGAAAACAGCATTATTTGAATGTACATTGAACATGAAATAATCGCATGGCTAGCGTCATACGGCCCCATCATTAGAGGGGAACAACATGCACACATGACGTTAACCATGCACATCTTCAAAAAATAGAAGAAAAATAGGGAAAAAAATCACACATGACAAACAGAATTCCGAGCATTTGGAAAAAAATCGCTCAGTTACCGGTAATTATGCGCTTATTAGATAGGAAAACACCGCGACTCTCATAGAATACTCAACTTATATCACTGAGAAAAAGGAAGGTGGCAGCAGGATTACGGAGCATCACCCTACCGGGGGGAGAGGGTTCGGGGTATCGGATGGGTAACTCTTCCCTTCTCTTCCCGTGTAGAGAAAGCCAAACCCTGCTGCGAATTCTACAAGAGATGGTCAAGGTGAACGAATTTCACAAAAACCCTATTACAGTATGACAAAAATGGCAAACACTTGCGCTAAGAGAAGAGCTCATTGGTACTTGAAGTTCGTTGAGCAAAGGTCATGTGTAAAATGGAATACAGGGGGGACGAGAGGGATGGTGTTCGTACTGTAGGATTACGATAGAGAGATGGTGAGCAAGCAAAGCGCTTTGAGAGAAATTTCCTAGCTCTCAAACGCTGTTGTCGAGCACCCGACTTAGAAGACGACGATGAAGGAACGCGACGCAAAGTCGCCACAGGAGCAATTGACCTATTTCCTTACAGGAAAAGCTCTTCGAAAGGAGTTATTCTTCTTTCAGCATCATCACACAACCACCTCCATCGACTGTGGCACGTTGTTTCACTTTTTTGTCCTTCATTCGTCGGTTCTGAAAGTGTTCTTGTTGAAAATAATGCAAAATTGAGGTAAAAAATAAATAGGTAGTATCAAAAAAATAGAGATTGGGACAAAGTAGTAGTGAATTGTTTCCACAGATATTTGCTAAAGAAATGTGGAAAGTTGAATACGGTCGCGCTTTTCCCCCTCTCCATCTTTTTTCCTTCCGAAAAAATTTCCAGGACCGCTGCTGGTATCAGAACT